ATGAAGCTCTTGCCACCTCCTATTTGTTTTCAGGTTTGTTTTAATGAATTCTCTGAGTTTCAGAAAGCTGTGGAAGAGATTCTGCTGTGGCAGAACCACAGTCTGTGTCACTCCAGTGGAAAATAACCTTCTAAACTTCTGTTTTTCCGGTACCAACTCAGGGTCCCTTTGTTCAAGTGGATGAGCTCATGGAGATATTTAGAAGATGCAAACTGCCAGACAGTAAGTTACTTGTTCACCCTGGAGGCTGTGATAGTGCTGCATAGGACTTTGTTGCATATATGGATATTGCTGTCTGAAATCCAGACCTCGTTTTCAGATGTGTAATTGGTGGTTAAGAGCAAAAGAGATTGGCTGTGTCTGTGGGTTGGGATCTGCAGAGAGATGTTTGTATGTTCATTTGGGGGAGGTAACAAAAAGGCAAAAAGCTGAAAATCCCTAGCTGCTACTTTAATAAGTTGGTGGTAAACATTGAAAGAAAGAAGTGGAGATTTGCAACACATCCTTTAGAAGCAGCAAGGCAATATTTGCAGCAGCATCATAGCTGTAAGATGACAGCACTGGCAGGCAGAACTCTTCCTGCAAGGAAGGAGAGTTCTGAAATACAGGACAGATCCCTGCTCCAGGCTTCATGTAAACCACAGCATATGCTACTTTTCACCCCCCTTATTAAAGGAAGAAGTGATCATAAAGAATGCTAGGACTGAATTTCTTTGAGTGAAAATAGAATACCTATTTAATTTATACATGGGATTTTTGAGGCTTCCTCTGTTGATAAGCAGAAACTGACTTGCTCTGCAGTTTCTGGTGAAGCAGGAGCTAGTTGTAGGATTCCCCAAGAGGCCTTAAGCTCCTGTGAAAGGGAAGGCTCAGGCTGAAGCAACAGCATTTAGTGCACAATTAGTGTTCACCACAGCTCAGTTTTAGACAGCTGAGACTTCCTTCTTAGGAGAACAGGCTAGGAAAAATGTCTTATGTTCCAAAAATCTCCACAAGGTATCTCTCTCTGTCCCTCTTGGAATGCTTTTCTGCTAATCTAGTGCTTATCTCTAGTCTAATGCTTGTTTCTGGTCGAGGAATTGAGCTTCAGGATTGACTCTGTGTCTCTTTCCAAAGCTGTTGATGAAGCTGTGAGGATAATTACCGGTGGCCTGCCCGAAATAGCTGTGGAAGGCAATGGACCTGTGGAAAACAATGCCATACTCAACAAGGCTGTTAAGAGATCACACGAAGATTCAGACGACGATGAGGACAAAGGCTCTGTAGTTCCCCCTGTACATGACATTTACCGAGCACGACAGCAAAAGAGAATCCGGTGAAACAAGTTTGCAGTTCTGCTGTGCCAGACAAAGACTTGCATTGAATCAGTCTCTCAAAAATCAAGCATTTAAAAAGGGACAGCTGCAAACAAAAGGATTCTTGAAAATGGTTTTGTTACTGTGGTGCCTCTTTTCCCATATGGTTCTTGATTTGAAAACAGCCAGAACAACCTTAGAATGTGCTCTGAACAAAACTAGGTTTGAAAACCAAAAGTGCAAAATTGTCAAATCTGTATTTTGTTCTTCGAAGGTGTTCACATCTACCACTTGAAATCTTGTGGATTTTCAACAGTTTTATTTTAAAAACTGGATGGCTTATACTTGTGAAGCATTTTTAACTCACATTTTCTGGAAAACAAGTGTTCTCAGTTTGTCCATGTAGTGTCCTGCCTTATTGTTCATTTTTATTTATGGCAGAATGTAAGGAATCTCTGTTTTGTAGTTGAAAAATGACAAACATTCCTTTAAAATAAAAGGATATCCATAACATCATGCCTCAGTCTGGTTTTATTCAAACACAACAAGGTACTTCTTAAATATTACTCAGCCACTTCAAAAGCAATGCTAATAAGACCATCACAGGAAGTTGATCAGAGCATAAATATTAGAATGAGCTTGTTTTCCATTTTCCTAGAGGATACAGTATACTTCTGCCTGTAGTTCCATGCCTGTTTGAAGGAGACAGCTGAAGGTGAACCTGGTACCTGTTCCAGTGTGGGTTGTCCAGGAGCACTGGCTGACACAGGCACGTCCTGTGCTGATCTTCCAGGTAAGGTACAAAGCTAAATGTTAATAATCAGCTACATTTTTTCACTTGTTATCTTCAACCAAGCTAACAAAAACACTAGGTGAGCTTTCAAAGCAGTTTCTATGTGTACTTTAGCTTGTAACTGGTAATTGGCTATTCAGGATTGCACTCTGATAAGAGCCTAAGAACCCCCACGAAGGCTCCAGGCTGTTCAGCTACTCAGGCAAGGAGAAAGACACTCCCACCCCAACAGCACAGCTGCCTGTGGGTCAGTGCTCCTCTCTGCCAGGCTGAAAGGTGCAGCAGTGTGTCCACAGGGAGGTGGGACATGGCCTTAGCAATCCCACAATTTCTTTCTTGCTTTGCCACTTACTCGTGTCTCCCTTTTGCTTTCAGAGAGGCTGTAGAGAAACTCTTTGTCAAGCACTGTCATTAGAAAAAACAACCTGGGAAAAATCATGAATGGGATTTGCACTTCGTGGGCATTTATTGCAGTCTCTTCAGATCTTCCCTGCTGCAAGGCTCAGGGCACTCACCCACCCACAGAGGCATTTGTTCTGCTGCTTGGGCCCCTGAAAGTCAGGCTGGAGCCAGAGGTGAGTCCTGCACGAATTTCTATGCCTGTTTATTTTTTTTTCCTACATGAAGCCTTAGGATCAAACCTCTTCTGCAAGGAGAGCTGGGATTTACTGGATCAACCCTGCAAGCAATACACAGGCACTAGTGGCAGCACAGTCCCTGCTGGTCATTGTGGACACTTGGACCCTGAATCCCTCTCCCAGATTACAACTTTACCTGTGGATAATGCAGTCCCATTCCCTGTGGCAGCAATCAGGTGCCTCTCACTATGTGCCTTGGTCCTCCCCACCCCTACAGCATCTGATTTCTGCAGTGTGTGCAATTCCCAGGGGCCTTTCAAGGCAGCTCCTAGGCCATGCTGAAATGTAAAGTAACAGCAGCAATTAATAACTTGTGCAACTCTCACTTAACACAACTGAAACTGTCTTGGTTATTTGTTTCTGTCCAGCAATAATGTCTCTGGTAGCTTCTCATTACACAGACTGCTGAATTAACTTCTGGAGCTACAGGCTCTATGTTGAGGTGGATCCTGCACTTAATAGCAAAGTCCAGTAAGCAGCTGCAGTGACCTTTGCTGAGCCAAACAATGAAGGAGACCAAAAGCCTACTCAGAACTTTTTTTCTGCCTAACCAACCTACTCATTTTCTGAGTTATCAAAGAAAGATTCAAAATCAGACATTCCTTTTACCATCTGAGTACATTTAGCCACGAGAAAAATCACTTATCTGAGCTGGTAAACTCTCACAGGGTTTTGGTGGTGGTTTTTTCCCCTTGGGGAAGGGGTTTGTAATGAATGAGATTTGGTTTAGAGTTGCATAGGCTATTCTAGAAAAAAGGTGTTGTTTATCCCACATTCCTCCAGACACAAAGTTAGTGCAGCTCTATCCACAGTGACACAGGAAAACTGGAAGGGGAAGCATCAGCACATTCATAGTCAAGTGCACCTAGAAGGTCTATTACTTTGGTTGACTAGTAGATGTATAAATTAAGCTGGTTATTGGCAATAAAAGGGCCTTTTTATTTATTTGTTTTACATAACTTGTTGGTTGTTTTTTAAAATACACCACCAGATTCTCCCTTGGATAGCCTAGTGCTGGGGACACTGTATGCTCTCATAAAACCATCAAATATTGATTACTGTGATACAGTGCTGTGCTCAACTGGAGGAGAATTTCAGGTGCACTTACCTCCCAGCTGAGTCTGAAACTGCAATGAGGCTGTAGGATCACTGAGCTCTTCTGAGAACACTCAGCTGTACAACACATAGCTAATTAAAGTCAAGACCTACAAATATTCTAAGTTTCAAGAACACCTCTAGAAAGTGAAAAAAGATTACTGAAAATATTCCCTGTATATCCAAACATTCACCTCTCACAGTACATCGAAATCATCACTTGCACTGCTCACAGTGCTCTGAACTACTTGGGTGTTTTTAAAAGACATGACTGAATATGCAACCAACCTCCTGTTGTTGTTTAAAACAAAAGCCAAGTAACATTTCCAGCCTGAAGTTTCACATGCTTTACATCCACCTTCTCCAAGTGACACAATTTGCTTTAGAATTAGTATTTCATGTAAAAAGGAGTAAACTACTAGCAAAAACAGAAAAAAAAAAAAGGTAAGAAATGCCACTTTTATCAAAACATTTTAGCTCTGCCCTTCTGAAGTCTTTACAAGAGATAATTACAGCTGCAATCTATAAGATTGCCACCTTTGTAAGTACTGTACATAGCAGAGGACAGTTACCCAATAACCAGAAAATTTGCTACAAAAATACATAGTGTTTTGTAACATCTGCAGGTAAACAGCAAAAAAATGCTATTAGAAATGCAGTAAAATGCAGAAAAAAACTAGCAGCCTACCACACTAACCATAATGTTACAATAAAGTGCTGCTTGGCTTGGTTTTTTTGTCTGCTAAAGTTTCTGTTCTCTAGAATTTGAGCTTTCTTAATTCTTGAAAGTAAGAATTTTAGAACCAAATCACTCCTTCTGGGAAGAACCATTGGATTAATTAAACTAAATTCACTGTAAATTAGAGTTCAAATGCCCTAAAATGAGCCACTTAAATACAAAGTTTGGTTCTTAAACTTGCCCTCAGCTGCATCAGCTCAAAACCCCTAAGAACTGCAGCCAGAAAACCACCACAGTATTTTCCCCCAGGTTGCATACTTACATGAAAAATGCATCTCTCATCATTCACTTCTGCATCTCATGTATTTCCCTCATCAATCAGCACTCATGAATTAGAAGGAACCAGTATTTACATGGAAAAAGCTGGTTTTCCTAGACAAAGATTGGTACAACTTTTATTAATAGCTGACAATACCATACTGGCAGCACACAAACTGGTTTTATGGTTCTTCTGACTTCCCTACAAGTTGGGATTCTTCCTTAGTCAGTATTTTGCCCAGGACTGCATCATAGTAAGGGCTGAAGACCATTTTGTTGTAGTTGACAAGACGAACATACTTGGCAGCAACCTCTTCCAGCTCTCTCTGAATTGGGCCTAAGCCTCCAGGGATAGCAGGTAGTGATTTCTGGTGACTAGATCCAAGGTAATTCTCCAGAAACTTCTGAATTCGAGAATCTGGAAAAAAAGGGGTTGGGTTTGTTTCCAGCAGAGATGGCCAATAAAAACCAGTGTGAGCTCATGTGACACACAACAGCCTGAGCACAACCAACAAGACATGGCACCACCAGGGTGATTATTTCTCTGCAGAAATAATCATTTATATAAATAAAATAAAAAATGAAAAGAGCACTGCTGGCAGAGCATACCTATGAGCTTGCATATGGTGTTGTCTGGGTTGGCCACTGCCTGGATTTGTCCTTTGAGCACAGCCTCTCTCTCAGCTGAGAATGGTGTAAAGCCATGCTGGGAGAGGCAGCTGTTCACCTCAGCACACACCTTCTCCCCGATGGTGGCCAGAGCCTCCTGCAGGTTAAACGAGCTGGAGAACATGGAGCAGAGCATTACTGAGCTGTAGCAGTTACTCACTTTTCTCCCCACCTTTTAAAAATAAACCATTCCCTTAGCGTTGCCTTATTTATCAACTGTAATGGCAGAAGCATAATGCAGATAAAGCCAAAATTATGAAGAATAATACAGTTTAGATATATATATATGTGTGTGTGAAAAATAAAGCTGAGATCTAAACCAAGGAGAGCATTAAAGGCTTCCAGCCTGAACAATCCATACATGTAAGAACTGACTTTCTGCCTACACAGACAGCTCTGACTAATGCAAACCCAGTTACCAACCCATATTGTAGAGCAATCCCTCTAAACCTGCAGGCAGCTTACTGTGCCACACTCCAGTTCTCAGGGAGCTTGGCCCAAACCATGAGCAGGGTTAGCTGCCTGCACTCCCTTGTGCCAGCCTGGCAGCATGGAAACACCCTGAGGAAAGCAGTGTGACCACAGGGTAAAGAACAGAGCAGAGAATGATGGGTCTGTGTGAGTAAACTGAGGAAAACCTGTCAGCCTGGGCTCACAGGAAGCTCTCGTTGCTTTCTCTGCACATCATAGAATTAACCTGGTTGGAAGAGCCCTCCAAGATCATCCAGTCCAACCCTACCGTGGTCACTAGCCCATGGCACTAAGTGCCACATCCAGTCTCACCTTGAAAACCTCCAGGGATGGTGAATCCACCACCTCCCTGGGCAGCACATTCCAATGTCTGAGCACTCGCTCCATAAAAAAATCTCTTCCTAATATCCAACCTAACCCTCCCCTGGCAGAGCTTGAGTCTGTGCCCTCTTGTCCTGCTGCTGGTTGCCTGGGAGAAGAGACCAACCCCCACCTGACTCCAACCTCCTGTCAGGGAGTTGCAGAGGGTGAGAAGGTCTCCCCTGAGCCTCCTCCTCTCCACCCTGCAGTCACAGCCAGAGAGAGGCTCACACTGCCCGTGCACCAGGCTGAGAACAGAGCTACCCCAGTCTCTGTGTGCCCAGGATGGTTCCATACTCACGGGAGGTGCATTCCTGTCAGCAGCACCTTGACAATGGTTTTGGTTTGCTCAGCAAATCCAGGCACATCGACGAGCGCTGGGCCTGCTGCGCTGAACGTCACCAGGAGCACTGTCCCCACTAAGAGCAGCTGCTCCAGCTCCAGCTGTAGCTCCTGGAAGCGACTCTGGTCCATGAGCACTGTCTGCAGCCAGGGAGGAAAGCAGCAGAGAATGGAGTCAGTTTGCAGGGCTGGGAGAGGACACAGCAGTGAGGGTAGGACAAAGACACAGGGAAGAGCCACACATGCTCTGCAGACCAAAGTGAAAAGCATTAACTCCTCTCTTCCAGCTAAGAAGGTTTCACTCCTGAAGGAGAAGCACCTATAAGAGCTCTCAATCAAGAGATAAATGATTTAGGATTGTACTCGTTGCAAGGCTACAAATCCAAACAGCTTCTGTTAGATCCCAGAAACACAAGAGGGAAACAAGCAGAGAAATCAAGTTCTCTGTTAAATACCTACTTCTGGAAAAGGCCTGTTCACATGATCCCACTTCAGGAGCTTCAGATAGGCCTGATTTTGTACAGCAGTGGAACACAGGGTGGAAGTTCCACCAGTGGCACCATCACTACAGTGGGAAGGTAACATTTTACGTCTCAGCTTTGCAAGATCATCTGCTGCTTCCTGCAACCACTTGGTGACAAGGTCTAAAGAATCTGGAAGAGCAGGGAGAAAACATCTTGTTAAAAAAATTCCTTTTCAAAGTTAGGTTTTTCCACCAACATTTCCAAACAATCCCATTAGGTACTACGACTAATACCCATGACATCAGTTGATGACAAGCATTTCATCTCTTGCATCAAGCAGAACATCTCAAACAAAACCACACAGCTACAGGAAATCAGAGGTGAGATGATGCTGGGTAATCATGCCCTACACTGTATTGCAAGGAAACTCAACTCCAGTGCAGAACTGTTGTTCTGGCAGATTTTTTTCTAGCCAGAGTTTTGGGACACGAGCTGTCATTTACCATAGGAATTCTAGAACTTATGAAAAGATCTGATTTCTTTTCATGGTCTACAAGCAAAGACACGCAGTTTACTGGGAGGTCAGAGGGGAAGAAAGAAAGGAACAAAGTCATACTTGGCTGTTTCTCAAGAAACTCCTGAAACTTCTTTCTTTCATATTCAGCAGACTGCTGCATTAATTTTGGCCTAATACTACTGACAGCGAAGTTTGCCATATCCATTTTCATTAGGTCTAATACAGAGAAAATTGCTCTAAACAAACAAACAGAAAAAGTTATTCAAGGCTGCAGATGTTTCAGGTACTATTTACAAAATTTATATTACAGATTGTCTAAGGAAAGAGCAAAAACATGCATGGGAAACAGTAACAGGGTGCTTAACAATTTAAGAGCATGAGACAGAGAGAAAGCTCGAGCAAGCATGTACATGCATGTGCCTCTTCCAAGTAGAAAATAAATCTTGCTCCCCTGTAAAAAAGCCTCCATGGAATTAACTTCGCTAGCTTGGTAGATTGTATCTCCCAGGATGTGCAATATCTTATGATCTGGGTTTCCAGGCTTGCACACTATCTCTGCTGGCAGCCTATACAGCCAGCCTCAGTGGGAAGTGAGTAATCAGACCCAGGAGGGGCAAAAAAAGAAAAGGAAAAACCCAACCAAACAAAAAACCACCTTCATTTCAAAGCAACCTAATTCCTTGCTGGCAATACTTCTGCCAAGTCAATCCTGAACTCTTGGAAGCTTTTCAAATTAGAAACCAGCAAGGTTAATGAAATCTCTCCTAACTACTGAGACCTGCAGCTGTGCAGCTGAGAGCATGGTGACAAAGCAGAAGCCTCAGTGCTCCCAGATGTGGTACACACTCCCTGCAGAACTGACAGGGCATTATACAGGGAGTGGGGTAAAGAGAGCTCAAACTGGGGGAAAAGGACAAACTGGCTGGAAAACAGTCTCAGCTCCTATGTGCTTTTTTCCTCCCTTTGCTGTTGATATTAAATTGTGATGTAAACTGACTATTCTCCTGCTATCTTAAGGAGTCAGACAAATAGTCCAGCTCACCACAACAAAGATGGTCCTTGTTAAAGACTCCTGGAGCATCTCTCCCCTTCACACCCACAACTCCATCCCCTTCCCTAACACTTTCTTTCTGAAATGAGCTGCAGGTTGCCCTGCTAGAAACACCCCCAACATGTAAAATTATTTAAGGGACTCTGAACATGACTGATAAACACCATTTCAGTACCTGAACAGTGGAACTATTTCAGGAATATCTTTCAGTTTCTTAATTTCTTCATCTCGAGCTGGAGCACAGAGAGTCCCCATCATCCCAATAACAAATTCAACCAACTTAGAAATGTCAAGGGCCCCATTCTCTGCCTCCTGTTTTATCAAATCCAGGTCAAGAACTTCTGTAATTTGGCTTCTCAGTCTAGTATGACCAGGCAACAAGAAAGACAGGAGATTCTGAAATGGAAAGTTTTTAACAGTGCATTAATTCTACATACCAAAGACTACAAGGATCAAAACAGTTACTGAACCACTTCTTACAGAATCCTAGAATGGTTAAGGCTGGAAGGGCCTTAAAGATCATCTGGTTCCAAATCCTCTGCCATGGGCAGGGACACCTCCCACTAGACAGAGTTGCTCAATGCCCCATCCAACCTGGCCTTGAACACTGCCAGGGTTGGGGGGAGATTCTTGTTTAAACTAACTGCCCTTTACAACAGGAATTGATCCTTTTTTTTTTTTTTTTTTTAAGTTTACTTTAATTTTGAATGCTTAAACAAACACTGTCAATTGAAAAAGCCATTTGTATAAGGCGCATTAACCATTCACCAGCTCCAAATGTTTCACCTTGTTGTGTGACACTGAAGTTACTAAGTGGTAAATTCTGTGTAGCACAGATCAGACTATTGTCCTTGGTGTTATCAGCCCAGTGTTGGGGCATCTCATCGATTCCAGAACTAACACCACTGCTGTAACATGAAAGGAGCTTGGAATTATGAAATTAGCATTACTTACCTTTTAATCACCTTGCATGGTTTTGCATTTGGTTTTACATTCAAATTTCTCCTCTGGGGTTATACAGCTTTTGTATGTTCACAGACAATGATACAGTAATGAAAAAAAGAGTCTTTTATGAAAAGCCAAACTGTGACCACTTCTGCTCATCCATATCAATGCAGCTACTCCAATTCAATAATTTACCTTGATATCACACCATCTTACCTCTTTAATTTCTCCCAATAGCTTAATTGCATGATCATATGAAGGTGGATCTTCCTTTAGCTGAACTTCCAGACAATCCCAGAAAGCTTTATGCACAATATCTCTTACTTTCTTTTCTAAGCTGTGGGTAAACAGGACCAGTTAAAAACAATGATATTTGTCCCTGCACCACCTTACACAGATAATCTGCAGCATGTAATAATATGAATCTAATGTAATAATGAATATATGACCAAGTTCCTTCCATGAAATATGCACTTGCTTCCCCAAATCAACCCAGGGAACACACTGCCAGCCACACCTCACTGTGTGAGAGAGAAAAAGGAGCAGCAGAAAAGTTTCTTCTGTTCTCCCTCTCCCTTCTCAGTAGGGCATAGAATTACTGTAGGACAGACAGAGAAGGAAACACTTCAAACTTCAGAGGAGCAAGGACTAACCTAATAAAATGTAGGAATCTCTTCCAAAAAAATCCCTTGAGAAACAGACAGAAAACCTTAAACAAACCAGTTTCACCTTATTCCCACAGGCAGGGAAAGAACATCTTATGTTCCTTCCTAGTTCCTTCCAGGCACTGGAAGACAAGACACTAGGCAGAGCCTTTGCCTGATCCCCCAGGGCTGTTCTGCAGTCCTACAAATTGTATTTGTGTATCTATTTGGTAAGGGTCTTACCTGTGTTCTGGTAATTCAGCTGGTTTTATCTGGAAGTCTCCATTCACAACAATTTCATGTGCTAATGCCATGTTGGTGACTCCCTTAGCTGTTTCCATGAGCTCTTCTATTGACACAGGCCGAGGAGGACTAGCTGCAACATAAATTACACTGTCAGTTTTCCACAAAAGTCTGCAAAAAACAATCTGCTAAGACTTTTGGATCATTTTGGATCATCATTCCCAAATGCCTGGTACTTGAGAAAAAAGAGAAAGCTGGAGCATTAGTGTCCTCAGGTGAGGCAGATAGGAATGGCAAGGGTCATCCTGGCTCCTCCAGAAAACATCTTGTGGAGTGGAAAGAGCCAGAACAGAACTGCCCCAATAAATCCATTTCTCTCTGTAATTCACTCACTTCAATACAGCCCAGGCACAGGACAAACACTAATCCCAAAATGAGAGAAAGCAACCAGGGATCTTCATAGGCTGAGTGCACTGAGGTGTGTTTTAGGTAAACTATTAGGACTGTCTCATTTGAGAATCCAGTTTGACTAGGTTTAAGTAATGACACTGAAAAGTTCTTTTAAAAGTAACTGTCCACCACTTGTCTGCCATTCAGAGTGCACATAGTATGGGTCCAACGTGCTCATTTCTCATTAACATCTTGCTCTTTTCATCCTTAAATCCTTATTTCCTTCTGCTTGGAGCTTAATCTTGCACAGTGACTCTGGGAGCACAGCAAAGATTGATATTCTGTGAAGAACTACCAGACAACAAAGTTCACAGACAAACGAGAGTGCTCTTGTCTGATTGCCAAATGACTCTGCTACAGCAGCAGATGCACTAAAAGCTAAGACTCTTTCATTTACCAAAGAATGCTCTTAAATCATGTTACTTCATTCTCATATTATCTCTGCTCCCTCAAAGAAGGGAAGGGCTTGGGCCCAACCTCCTCTCTGTGGCACAATGCAGTGCAGGACTGGGCCATACACATCATTTTCACCTGTTCAAAGCCTCTCTCCACACATCCAGCCATCCCTGCCAGGCAACCAGCAAGGCATAACAACACAAACCCTTCCAGAACATCTCCTCTGTGAAACATGACACTCAACGCAACACTAAACCTCGAGTAATAATGAACACTATTAAAAAAAAAACAAAAAGAATGCAACAAACAAAATGTTACATGTTAAGACAATGTCCACAGAAGTTTAGAACTAGTTATCTGAGCAATTCTGTCTCCCTGGAGCCAGAAAACTTCTCCTTGGTATTGTCTATAGATTTGCCAGAAATAACTGGTAGTCAGACTGCAGCCAGCTCCTCATGTTAAAAGCAGAATGACAAAGAAAAAAAAAAAAAGCCTCAGGAATAAACTCAAAATACACAGTCCTGGAAGCAGCATTAGGAATAAACACACAACTTTCCACCTATTTTGTGAGGGAGGTGACAGGACATTCCTTTGTTGAGAGCAGCTTTTCTTGCCCTGCAGTAGAAACAGAGGCTGCAACAATCCAGAAGGTTCAGCTGATAAGGCAAAGAGCAGCCACAGCTGAGCTGGAACACACCAGGGGAGTGCTTATGCTTTCCATGAGCACAAAAACACAAGGGCATTTAGGATATTTGTGGCTCAGAGCAATGTGGTCATTGTGTACAATTAAGCACTAAGAGAAAATGGAGAGAAAAATGTTACAAACTGTTTCAAAGCAAATCATCAGGAGTCACACTCTATTTAATTGCACGACAGTCAAACTTGCACAGAATGCTACGAAATACCAGGATTGCCTCCTAAAAATTACAGCATTTACTTTTTTTTAGTTCTTTCTCATCAAACAGTTTGGCTTACACTTTGGTGTATCATCTCTGAGTGACCCTGGAGCACTCTGTCGTATTCTTTTCCGGACAGACTGATCTGGGTTGTCCAAGCTCTGCTCTTGACCATCCTCCAAACCACTCAACTTTTCTTCACTTGAATGCAGCTTGTCAGGATTCTGAGACATTTTCAGTGGGTTCTTTACAGAAAAAAGAAAAGAAAGATGGAAAAGGGAATGAATAAGCATTTTGTGATATGGCTGAGTGGGTAAACATCGCCAGGAGTTCTCTTGATTAAGAAAAAAATTAATGAAAGAATTCTTATGAGGAATTCTATGATGTCATTCCCATTAGAAGGGGACCTGGGCTCAGTGACTCACTTCCTGCCTTCCACAAAATGGGATCTTTCAACACAGCTCCCATTGACTTCATCTGCAAGTCCTCAAAACTCTGAAACTGTTGCAGATGAGAAAGAAATCCAAATATCTTTTTCTCACTGCGAGAGCAGTGAAAACCACCTTGGGAACAGTCTTACAAACATGTTTTACAAAAAGATTAGACCAAATGAGACATTTCCTCACTACATGGCAACAACTCTTCCTGAATAAAACATATTCCTCAACTGTGATCTGCCCCAACTGCTCAGAACTTACAAGCTCTCCCTTTGAGCCACCCAAAAGCATTGAGAAGAGGGAAAGGACTAGAGAGAAATTAATACAAAATTCTACTCTCCTATTTTCATTCCATGCAAGAGTCATGATTTATGCATAAAAAACAGGGTGGCTTTCTTAATTAAGGCAGTAAAGAATAGTTACAGCCTTTAAAATATTAGTTTATTAAAGATTATACATTAAAGATTATTTATATTCCAGCACAGGTAGCTGCAGTGTACCCAAAGTTACAGTGAAAAAAATACCATCAGGAAAACAAGTCTCACCATTCATTATTTTTGCTTGGTTCATAAGCAGATTTCCCTCCTAAGCATGTAATTTGTACCTCCAGCACTGAGAACTATCATGCAGGAAGGGACTGGTCAGGCTTCAGTTTCACAGAAACCTATTAGAGAGCATATGATGCCTCTAACTCAATTAAATAATCTGGGTGCTCTGTGAAGTCAGGAAGACTCTGCCTTTCCAAATAAAGGAAAGCTTCTGGAATAACAACAACTTCTTCTTTCCCCTCCTATCCCACCATCCACACTTTCAGTATTTGAAATTTGAGTATTTTGGGTATTGAACAATCTCCACCCTCCAGAGGCACCTCACAGCTGCTGGGAGAAAATCCTTGCAGCATCAAAGGCCACACTGAAGAGGATGCAGCAGAGCCAAGCAACAGTGTAGAAATAGAACACACAGCACTGAGACATTTGATTTTCATACAGCAGCTGTGATAACTGATCCTGCTGCATCGGCACCTAAATTGATGGAGCCAACGTGATTCTACAGAACAGTGGAAAGCTCAGTGCATGTAAGAAACATTTTTGTTCTACAGCAATGACTCAGGAACATCATCATCCTGCCCAGTGCATGACAGACAGCAGCATGCAACACTTAGACCCACAGCTCTGTGTGAGCTCTGTTTCAGAAAAGAAGACAGCAGAGAAAACATGGGATAAATTACACAGGAAACCTAAGGCATCAGTGCAGGTGTTGTCAGACTCATACATTAACCTCCACCTCTAGACAGAACAGTCACCACTGTCCCTGCTCCAAGCACTGGACCATCTGCCCTGTGCACACACAGCCAGTCCTGCTGGGAAAAGAAGTGTCTGTGCTCAGCTGCAGGCACACTGCACTCTGAACAGAGGCAGAGCCTCCAGCTAGGTGAACAGAGGCATCCCAACCAGCATGCAGGGGGAAACCAGCCAGGAGAAGTGGCTCTCTGGCCTGGCAGACAAAAGGCCTGTTACTGCCAGTGCTCCAGCAGCAAGAGGATGAGGAGCTCTGTCAGCAGAGGAGCAGTTCACAGAGAAGATCATAATGACAGCTTAATAAAACATAGAAAATAGGGCTGAGTAAACAAAGGAGGGAAACCTGCTGTTGAATTTGACTAGGACAGGATAAAAGCATTATCATAGAGGCTTCCACATTCATTCCACCAGACTAGAAGGTTGTTCTTCCTATCTGTTCTCTTGCACAAAACATCCCTCCCAAATCAAAATCTGAACCACAGAGATGACTCAACCAAGACCCACTTAAGTCTTTCGTGCACATGACACTTCCTAGTGCCCTGAAATCTCACACTTACCTGACTTACAGAGGGGAAATGAGGTGAGTTCAGATGTTTGAGGACTCACAGAAGATAAATTAACAGTGACAAGACAATAATTAGCCTTATGATTGCTTTGCCCACCAGGCCATCATTCCTACCATGCAGACCACATCCTCAGAACTGCCTTGCATAAAATGACAGGCCAAGAGCTACAATCTCAAACCCAATTAATTACCTTTTGGTTAACAAAAGTCCTATTTCAGCTGTGGAAGGCAGGTACAAGAACCCCTGGGCCACCCAACCAAATGCCAGTTCAGCAGATGAGGTAAACAGGCACACTTGTTGGTTTAGTTTGCAACAGTCTACTCTTTTCTGCTGGATTACTGCTATTATTTCCCAGAACACATCTAGAACATATCCTCTTTCCACTGGGTAAATAAGCTTGACAATACCTCTTCCAGCAGCACCATCATCCTCTTTCCTTTCACAGAAACAATTCTGACCTTTAACAGGGCCAAGTCCATTTCTTGGCACTTCCCTTCTGCTTATTTTTAATAAAAGCAGAAACGCAGGAGAAAACCCCAACGAATTAGAAAGCAAATTAAATATTTTCCACGGGGTTTTTTTTGACCGGAAGAGGCTCTCAAATCAATCCTGATGATTATTAACCAGTATTAAATAACCCTCCCCGCGCTGCTGAGGATTGAAGCAGCTCCTCCTCACCTCGACCATGAGACAGCGCAGCTCACCTCTCCTCCAGGCCAAACACACAAGCTTTTCCCCAGGCTTTGTTCCAGCGCGGAGCTCTCCTCCCCTCCGCTCGCTGCCACATCACAACCCGTTTTCCCTCCCGACGCCTTCACACGCAATCCGCATCCCGAGCGCGTCCCTCCTCCGGGGCCGGGGCGATGCTGGGGGATCCTCCCCCTAACCCCTGCAGCTGCGGGAGGCTCTGAGGGCCCAGAGGGGC